CACACACACACACACTCACACACTCACACACTCACTCAATAATATATAATAGCTACAAGAATGAGTAGTCAGATGACAATGTTCCCAGACAAGACATGAGTGGTTTTAAATGTGATGCAGCAGTAAATCTGATCACTTCATTTGTCTTTGTTTATCACAATTAAACTCCTGCAAACCTGAAACAGTCTCTACTTTCATCTGCTCGTTATTGGACATTATTTCATGTTCATCTGCTGACCTCGGTCAGTCGCTCTGGATCTCGTCAAGATCCACGTGTACAAGCGGTTTATTCTGAGCGGCCTGAACGCCGATCGCTGAATACTTCTGCAGGTTTGTGGCCTCTGCGCTCAAGAGATTCAGAACTCAGACGGTGAATAAATAGCAGCATGTCACGGCTGGAGAAGCAGAGCCAGTTCATCATAGTCCAGCATCTGAACCCTCGACACTCTCTCACACACACACACACACTCACACTCACACTCACTATAACACTTCACACATGCATTTTCATTCATTCATAACCTATAATGGATGCAATAAAAATTTAGTTCAAAAATTGAAGTGCCATTGTTTAAAAAACATGCTTTATTGACTAACTTTTCATAGACGTTCAGTTATGCTTTCAAATTTCGTGCCATTTGTAGCCTCTGTAATTTCTTTGATTACTACACTACTTGTGCAGTCACAGTTCTGTAATGGTAGAGTTTACTCAGGCCGAAGAAATGGTTTTGTATGACGAGTCTAGCCTGTTTTCTCTGACATGATCTCCCCGCTGTACTTCAGGCATCATCCAGCACACTCTCGTCCCAGTGTAGTGTATCTGCAGACATATATCTGCTTATATGTGTGTGTGTGTGTGTGTCTCTGTGTGTGTGTGTGTGTGAGAGAGTGTGTGTGTGTGTGTGTGTGTGTGTGTGTGTGTCTCTGTGTGTGTCTCTGTGTGTGTGTGTGTGTGTGTGTGTCTCTGTGTGTGTGTGATCTGACATGATCTCCCCGCTGTGCTTCAGGAATCATCACACTCTCGACCCAGTGTAGCATATGTGCAGACATATATCTGCTTATATGCAGCGTGGACAGTATCTATATGGACACCTAATCAGTATTCTAAAAACCATATCTTATCTATTGTTTAATTAATGAAAGATCATGAGTAAGATTAAATAAGATCAAATCTGTCCATTACGGGGAACGCAGATTTCACATTTCTTCAGCACCAAATACAAATGACTTCAACACAATGTATGGTTATAAAATATGACATTTATTCACAGATATGAGAAAAGAATAGAAAATGACTTGGCTTAAAGTAGGATATCATTACATTAATTTCTTAGCACTGAAGTGTAGTTTGTACAGCTTCTCTTGATGCGTAAACAACAACTTCTCGCTTAACCATGTTCTCTTCAGTTTACAGGGTTAGAAACATAACCTGAAACTAACCATTAAGGAACTACAAGTTATTTTAGGTTATTTAATAATAACCATGCAACGTTCTGGGAACATTAACTGTATGGTTACAAAACATTATAACCTAAAAAGTTCTCCTGATGTTACTATTTGATTCCCAAAAAACTAGTGTTTGGGAAATATTCTGTGTTTGCTGGGTATCTGTTGATCTTCATCTCTCAATGATTGTATGAACATATAAACCTGTGAAACAATATTTAAGTAGATTAGTCACACTAGTCTAAACCTCGCCTGCTTTACTAAATGAAGCAAATGAAATATCAGAAACCAGCGATGGGCGCGTTTGAAGCACCGCCTCGTGAAGCTTCGAAGCCTCTGCGAATCATTTGTTTCGAATCAGTGATTCAGAGCGCGAATCACACTGCCAGAGTCACGTGACTTCAGCGAACGAGGCTTCGTTACGTCACAACTCTTTCTTGATTTCAGTGGTGTGCTGTTGGGGGCGAAGATCTCTGTAAACCCGTGAATCCAGCGAGTTCACTGAGACCAGAACAGCGTCTGAGGGGTTTACCTGATCTCGGATCAGTTTCAGCTATTTGTAGACATTTTAACCAGTCGTTTGTGTGCTTAAAAGAACGAGAAGTGGCTGATAGGCTCTTACTGGCCTCTATATACAAGCCCTCCATAAAACAAACAAAACAAGACCTGCTCATTAATAATAATAATAATTATTTGTTTTAAATCACGTTTACAGACTCTTAATATTTAATGGCATTTTATTATTTTAATTGCATTTATTATATTAGACTTTCAAGAAAGTATTTGCAATGGGTTTGTAAACGCTGTTTTTAAGCATGTTTTAGCCTGGGCTTTTGTTGCATTTACACACTTTTGACCATTCGAGCGCTTCCAAACACTGAATCATTTTGATTCGAAGCTTCGAAATGATTCGTTTCTCTCATCACTGTCAGAAACCATAAACATAGAGTCAAGAAAGAGAAATACGATCGCAACATTCATATTAGATGAGCACGTTTAATAATAATAGCACATTCTTCATTCGTCTGATCAGCTGAGCGACTCGTTTTCTCTACATATCGTTCTTGTAACTGCGCGCTGCTGTCGATTTAAATAATAAAAGTCCGGAAGCGGAAGTGACGTGTGTTCAGGAGCAGTGGCGTTTTTCCGCTCATTGCAGGAAAGATGGTTAGCGCTTTTGGACGCGTTTGTTGACGAGTGATAAACGTGAATATTAGATATCTGTTTAAGCGACTGAGGTGAGTTTGACTTGAACCGATTCTTCTCCCGCTGCATTAATAGCCATATCATATCTGCGCGTGTGTTCAGTGTGTTTATGAAGCGCTGTTTGTACTTGCTCTGATAACACTGCACTGAGCCACACAATCACAGAAGAGTGTTTGATATGCGCCAGAGTTTCTCATGATTAGCCATGTTTAGATTGTTTATTGTGCAGCATCTTCATGAGATATTGACTGATGTTTAACTGTGTGTGTGTGTGTGTGTGTGTGTGTGTGTGTGTGTGTGTGTGTGTGTGTGTGTGTTT